CTTTTGGTAGAGGTGATATCTTTTATTAGACCAACTAGATAGTTGCAAAAAAAATTATTTATTTGCAAGCTTTGTGGCATACGTACCCTTCCTCAGGCATAGGAGTGTGCAAAGATTGTAACATTTCTCCCAGGTAGAAATGAAAATTAATATTTTTCAGGAGAGCTGAAAGGTGGTGTAAGATCTCCTGGCTGGAAAAGTCTTGAAAATGCAAATTAGGCTCAGATAAAAGTTGGAGCAGTCTATTAACCTCACAGTTGTCTGATAGTAAGCAGGATGTTGATTTATGCTTCTTTCTTGTTATGATGTTGCACTGCCTTTCAGCTCTCTTGAAAAATACGAATTTTCATTTCCACCTGGGAGAAATTTTACAATCTTTGCACTCTCCTACACCTGAGGATGGATGCATTTGCCCGAAAGATTGCAAATAAATAATTTTTTTGCAACTATCTAGTTGGTCTAACTTCAAGTATTGGTAACTTCCTGAATCCCCACCCCTGACTCGGGTGCTGGTTTGGAATACAAAAGTGTGTCCCACCACTCAGGCTCCCAAGGAGCTGGTCCTTGTGGGATAAGTTAAGTACAGGATTCATTAGCGTCACAGAAAACCCCACTACTTTCCACATTGGACCTACAGAAAAGTCAGCCAGCTGCTGAGCAGGACATCAGATGACTGCACTGGGGAAGCCCCCTTAAACCACTGAACCGAGGAGCATGGAGCACTGCTGTTGTCAGCAGAGCCCTGAGGGGACCAGCAGCTTACTAAAAATGTGCTAAAAATCGTGTTGGGCCCTGTTCCTGGGTTCACCGTCAGCTTCCATGGGCTAACAGTCACATTTTGCTGGTTCAAAGTATGGTTCTTTCTCCCTGGCTGCTGAGTGAACAGGGGTGCATGGAAGGGAGTATCTGACAGGGGAGTGGACTCAGTAACCCAGGAAGCCCCTTCCGGTCCTTCCCCAAGGCGGAGAGAGATGGACTTAAGGTGCTGCCGAGCGCACTCACTGGGAAGGGTGGAGGGCTCTGTTAGTCTCTGTTACTATCTCTTCTCTTCTGGGCTCAAGCTTATTCTGGAAAATTTCCTGATGGGAGTGTCTCCATCCCTCCCCTTCTCCTCTCCCCTCCAAAATGCTGGTGCAATGGAATGGAAACATTGCACAGGGAATGTACCTGCCCAGTAATTTGTCCGAATTTTCAATGGGAAATTGTGGAAACATTTGATTTGAACTTTACTGTTTCTACTAGTTTAGCTACTAAATGTTTGGAGAGAGTCAGAATAAAGCTTATTCAAATATAATCAAACATTTTGTTTCACTGCACTTCCCCCCTGAAAAAAAATTCTGCTTTTTCCCCAATGTGGGTTGAAATGAAGTTCCTTGTGAGACAGAGGTCCTGGTTTTTAACAAGCTTTATCCAACAGTAGGTGAACTGTTCACTGGCAGCATCATGATGTTCTGAACAGAATTGTGTTCCTTCATGTCTTCCATTGTTGGTCTCTCTTTTTTTGTTCCCTTGCGTCTGCTTTTGGTGGGTTTTCCCTGGTGGCTTCATAGTCTCAGGCCCATTTATAGTATGGAGGGGACTTCTGCACTACAAATTGAGGGCACTAAACTTCCCCTGCTTCAGGAAGTGCAAAGGTTGCCAGCTGGTATTGAAGAGCCATCTCTCATCTGGCTAACTGAGAGGCTGGCATCTTGTCAGCCTTGTCAGGAGAGTGGAAAGATCAGAATAGGAAAACAGTGAGAGGAGATGTCACCAGATTCTCACACTGATCAAGTCCTGGACATCATCTTGTTTTGTCAGAAGGACAAACAACACTGAAGGCCATTGAGATGCACTTGAAGTTGGCTCTTATAGGCCCTCTCCCCAGAGTCTGTGCAAGACATGCCTGCCTTCTTGAGCCCATCTGTGCACCTTACCATGTTATAATCTTCTCCAGCAATGAGGCCACCAGGCATGTGCTGGAGAGGCAGGAGAATAGGAGAAGTTACTCAGCTGCTTCTCCACAGGGCCTTGAAATGCACTGTCTTTGTAGTTAAAGGGAGAAAGCAGTTTGCAGGGGGCAGGTGTTGCCTGCAGCATGGGAGACCCATGTATGACACCTTATTGGGAATGCCCACAGCCAGGGGCACCAGCTAATGGTCGCTACCACCAGAACACAGGGAGGTTGAAATGTGGCTCTTTGGCTCTGGGGGCATCATCCCCCAAGGTTGCATTGGTGTCCATAGACACAGGAGGGGAAGTGAAACCAGCTGAAAGCACAACAAAACTGTCTCATGCACCATCTCTGGCTGAGCAAAACCCAGATAGCAAAGTGCATCCAGCCTGAGTACTTGGGAGCTCCACTGAGCTGCTGCCACTTGGACAGGGGGTGAAGGGCTTCTTGAACACCAGGTTTCCAGCAGTTTAATTCAGCTGGTGCAAGCAAACATTGCTGGTCTTGTTCCAGGTCCACATAGCCTTACTCCCAGTCACCTGGAGGTCTACACTGGTGTACATTGAGTTGAAGCCAATACGAGCCTATCCACACCACGGCCTCTTGCTGCAGCTTAACTCAGCTGAACATCACACCTGTAGCTAAACCAGGCCTGCTTCTGCCTGAAGACAGGTTTGTGCCAAGTTGCTCTGTGTCTGACTTGAAGCAGACTCATCCCCACGGACCGTGGGGCTTCCTCAGCTATAGGCGAGGAACCAGCCTGGGGCTTGGTTCAGGGAAGAACAGGCATGGACTTGTGGAGCTCTGCTGTCAGGTTTGCCCCCTCTTGTACACATGGACAGGGAGCAAGACACTTTTGCCTTTTCCTGATCCTGAGACAGGGATGGGGTGGAGCTTGCTCACTGGGAGCACCTTCTTGTCTTTGGTAGTGAACACTCCCACCAGGACACCCCACAGAGTCACAGGGCCTCCTCCAAGGTGACTGTGTGCATCTGCCAGTAGAAGACAAAGCTGCCCCTCCACCTGCTTACAGCACGCAGAAAGGCTTGACTTCCTTACTAGGAGGGGGCCAGGGGTACAGTTGAGACTGTCATAGTCTGGGGGAATCCAGCTATGAGCTGGACAGGAACAAGTGGTGCCCAGTCCCTTTGCCAAGGGAACTAGTGCAGGGAAAGCCTCACGTGCCAGGTCCTGCAGCTGGGCTTTTCTGGGATTGGCTTTTGATGAGTGCTCTGAAGGGGAAGGGTTCACTCCTCATTGGGCTCAGCGGGAGAGGAACAGAGCCAGGGGTACTGGGAGGAAGGGAAAATGAGCCTGAACCCATCTGATGAGACAGGTTCCAGGCTTCACAGGAATGCAGATGCAGGTGGGCATAGGCATAATCCTTAAGACTTGTATACAAGTGTCAATGTGCCTTCAGGATGCAGGAGCCTTGCCTAGCACAGCACAGCATGGGATCTGTTCATTGAACGCCAGTTTCTCAGCAGAATGAGGCTTGTACATCATGTGCCATCTTCTCTTCTGCCTGGCTGGGGGTTTCCTTGTTTGCCAGGACATCCATATGATGTTGGCAGGGGTTGTGAAGGGTTTGAGGCACAGGGACTGTGGGGCAGGAGAGGGGCTTCTTGAGCTGTCACCAGGAGCAGTGGAGTGAAGGAGAGGGGTTGCTTCAGAAAACCTCTGAGGTGCTGAAGGAGCTGGGAACTGACAGCATTGGACACCTTTCAGTATTGGGGCAAGGGTGGGGCTGACTGAGGAATCCCACCTTCCTGAGGGTGGGGAGACAGTGGGATCAGCCCCCGAGGAGCGATAAAAGAACCACTGACTGGGACATGTCGAAAAGTCTGGGCATGGTGCTGGGTGCTGCTGGGGAAGCTGGCCTTTCTGCAGAGCTCCAGGCAGAGTGGGGGATCAGGTGGACATACCTGATGCAGCAGTTCTTAAACCCCTTTCAGCCTTGCTCACTTTCCCATGGGCTTGTCTTTGGCTTGGTCCATGGAGTCCGTCCTGCTGCAATCCCTCAGTCACAGGGCCTTAAGCTGAGCCTGCCTTTTCCCCAAGGAGCTATTTGCATGTAGGCTGCTGGGCTGCTGTCATGTCCTAGCTGCCGTCACGTCCATTGATGCCAGGCCCTGTAACATGCATCCCATTGCTTTGCCTGGTGAATCAAAGTTTCCAAAGTAATATTTACTCAAAGGAGAAAAAAAACTGGGATGCTGACCTCCTGCCACCAGTTGCTGGGTCAGCCAAGGCGCACAAGGCATTGAAGGCAAGCCTGGTCCAGCCAGCCCTGCAGTCCACAGGGCAGTCTGAGAACTGGGGGGAGGAGAGCAGAGGCTGGTGGATCAGGGTTGCCGGACAGCTGGGGTAGCAGGGGTTGGAGAGCAGGGTGGAGGAGCATTGTTTCAGAGTCTTCTATGCCAAAAAGGTAACTCCACCAGGCTCTGTCTAACTGTGTGTAGCTGACTGCTGAGCTATTGGAGCTCTTGAGTCCACTGAGAGATTTCTCTCTCTGCCTGCATTAATTCCACTGGTCCCCTTGGTGCAATCAGCAGCCCACGGCTGCAGCTGGCTTGCTGTGTCCAGTAGTCGAATCTCAATATAAGGAGCTCACTAGTAAGCATCACATTTCCGTCCATTTCCAGTTCAGGAAGAAGATTCCCATCCAACTTTCACCCACTAGACCTAGGGAGTTCTCTCTGCCCCCCAAGGAAGCCACCCCTGGGCAGCTCGGCCAGGAGATGGACCAGTGAGCTTGAGCAGCATTTCCTCTCTGCAGAGCAGTGGGTGGTCACTTGGCAATCTTGGGCCTGCTGAAAAGCAGGGACAGAAATACATCAAAGTTACAAGATGCCATGTCTGCGGTGCACTTGCCCATGGTGTGTCTGAGGGTCTGTCCTGGAGCCGTGCCCCTGCAGTCCCTGGGCATGTGCCTTCTGGGCAGATAAAGCAAAGCCCAGTGTCTCCTGGGACAGGTTGTGAGATCCTCTGGTGCTGAGCATGAGCCCAGTTCATGACTGCTACTGAATAATAGGCTGAGCACTCTACTGGTCTCTTTGATTTCCAGGGCTGCAATCCCACTCTTCGACACCGACACAGGTCTCTTGGTTGTGGCTGGAAAGGTGAGTATGAGGCTGGGGTGAGCCCATGCTTCAGGTCTCTTGAGGCTCCTTGTCCAGCAGTGGGACCCAGGGTTCTCAAATGCTCTAGTCAGCCCACAGCTTTCCTGTGGAGGCAGACTCCCAAGCCCTGTTAGGGGTTCATCAAGGCACAGCTCCCTCATCCCCAATGGTGAGGAAGGACACACTGCCAGACCAAGACCCTTCAGGGGAGGCATCACTGCTCTGCTACTTTGTTGTGTGTCCCCAGACCCAGGGGTCCCGCTCTGCTGCTGGGGTGGAGATGGTGTCACCTCAGGGTCTTATTCCCAGGCACAGCTGGCCATAGGGGTGTTTCTTCGCACCCCCAGCTGGAGCCGGCTTCTGCAAACCCAAGACAATGGACTGGGAAAACTCCTCTGTGTACTTAGAGGCTGACATGGGATTCCCAACCTGCCGTACTGCCTGTGCTTTTCTGTTCCAGGGTGAAAACCTCCTCTACTGCTTTGAAGCGTCTCCCTTGCAGCCAGCCCTGACACAGGGTAAGGAGCCACCACCCTTACCCCCATACCCCTAAGGAGCCTTGGTCTGTTGTGTTCCCACCTATTGTCAGGATATACTGGCTTCCCTGGCTCTGCAAAGTGTCCCAGGTTTGTGGACAGGCAGCCCCTTCAGGCAGGAAAGGGATACATGGGCATAAAAAGAAGCCTTTGCTGGCCTGTGGAGAGGCTTTGTGCCTTGGGAAAGTCTCCAGTCACAAACTAGCACGTGCCCAGGTGGTGTGTCCCCAACCTGGCTGACCTACTGTGTAGTAGCAAATTCCTTTACTGGAGTATTTGAGGCCATTGCCTTGGAACCCAGGGCCTGTTGCCAAGGGATGGGGGGTCTGTTTCCTTTCATTTGGGGGCAGAATCCCTGGATGCTATCTCTAAACATCCATGTGAGCAGCACTGTCGGCAGAGCCTGTCCAGGGTGCCAGTAGGAATGGGCTAGTACAGGTGGATCAGCCTGGCCTCAGCTGTTCAGGGTGGCATGAGAGTGAAGACAGCCTTGTACACAGCCCTGTGCAAAAACAACCACCAGTCAGAGACCTGGAGGATTCAGGCTGTGAGCAAGCAGTGAGGCAGCCAACTGGTCCAAGGGCATTCATGAACTGAGAAGTTTGGGATAGTAGCCACCCCTACCCCTCTGAGGCATGATTCTCAGCTGGAGTAAGAGGGGCTGAAGAGGGCTGGGCTGGGGTGGTAACACTAGGGCCATCCCAAATACATTACTGGACTGTCTGCCTGATGCTCGGGAGCTTTGCTGGACATGGCTACCAGCACAGCAGCTACCTGGAGCATCCTAGCCTGGGATCCTGAGCAGCCAGTATTGTTTGATGGCCCCCCGCAAACACGTTAGGGGTGTCCCAGGAAGCACTTTGAGCCTGGTTGCCCTGGGTGGTCTTGGAGGCCAGGCTGTCCAGGAGCCTCTGGTTCCTCCTCATTCCCACCCCCTGAGCTTCACCAAGGGAAGGTAGGAACGCTGGAAACCCCTTCCTGGTCTCACTGCCATACGAATGATGTACGACTGGGCAGGGCAGGTAGGTGTCTGCAGGCCAGCCTTTCTAAAGGAGATGGCACTAGTGCCGGGCCAGCATCCTTGCCAGGTCCTGCCCAAGGGTTATCCCATCTGACAGGAGCATTAGACTCCTGCTGTGAGAAGGGCCTTGTGTGCAAGCCACTAGACTTTGGCCCCTGTCCTGAGATTTCTGACTGGTGGGATTACAGTTAGCAGCTGCTCTGGGGGATGATGCAAAGCGTGAAACAAGCCTGATGGACTGTGTCTGACTTTGCCAGTGTGACCAGCTGCAGTGCTTATGGACCAAACTAAACAGAGGGGCAGTGGCAGAGAGCTCAGGCTAGGGTCAGAGCAGTTTCTTAATGGCTAGATCCTATTCAAGCCTGGCTCTGGTTTTCTGGGTTGTGGGTTGGGGTCTGTGTCACTGCCTTGGCATCCCCCTTCCCTGGACAGCCAGTGTATTAGTGCATCTCTGTAAATACCACAAAGAGTCCCCAGGCTACCTGTTCCCTCCCCTTGCTGCTCCCCCCCACCCAATACTCCCTCCCACTCCCCTGTGGGCAGCCTCACTCTCACAAGGCCTTTGACTGTGTGTCCATTTCCCTTTAGTTAACCAGTGTGTGACAGAGGGCAAGACCCGGGGCGCTGCCCTGGTGCCGAAGCTGGCACTGGACGTCATGGCCTGTGAGGTGGCCAGAGTCTTGCAGTTGACAGACAGCTTCATTGTGCCCATCAGCTACACTGTGCCTCGTAAGGTAAGGGGGAAGACAGACAGCTTATTGCGATGCAGGGTATTACTGCCCCTCTAACAAGCTGAGGGGCTCAACTGCCTCCTGCTAAAGTGCAGCTTTCTCTGTCTTGAGCTCTCCGGCTGAGGCTGGAACTGGACACTGTAACTAGGTCTGCCTGAGTCCACAGACAGCATGAACCATAGATGGAGGTTGGACTAGTGACCGTAACTGTGTCCCAGCCTGGTTCTGAGCAGAACTAGGCACCTGAGCTCCCACTAACCAGTGAGCGCCCAGGGTCTCAGCACAACTCGGCCTGACCCCAGGGAGCAGGAGTGTCCAACCCCTTTGGTCTTTGGACTGGTGAGTCTCCTCCCTTTCCCCTTCTGCCAGCACTGCAACCAGGAGCAGAACTAAACCCTCATGTAGACCTGGCAAACACTGAGATCTTGAGCTACTGTTGGGAAGGGGCATTAACTCAGGAGCTCCTTCCATGGCCAGCTCTGCCTTCTGCTGTGGTTGGAGCAGTTTCCGCCTAGGACAGGAAGCTTCCAGCAGCACCGTGTCTACAGCTAAAGCTGGTCAGTGTTTTTGAATGAAAAAACTCTTTCTGTCAGAAAAGACTAGCCAAACTTTTCTTTAAGCAAAAAGTCTGCAGAGAAAATACATTTTTTTAATTGTTTCAGACACACGCTGAAGCTGGCCTTGGTGACATTCTTGATCACTTTCAATTTAAAAAGTTTTAATAAGCTAAACATCCCAAGGGCCAAACTCTGAATGATGTAGGTGACTTGGATGATTCAAAATAATGTGCAGTTCAAACAAATAATCTCAGCCACATCCACCTGTCACCAGCAGGGAGAGCAGAACAACACACACCCTGTGGTGCTGCTGGCCTCAGAGCAGAGCAGTTTTTAGTTATAACCAGGGATCTGGGATTTCCGTTTTCCATGGAAAAACAGAGTAAACTGGGGATTTTACCTTTTACTGGAAGCAAACATGGATTTCTTGTTTTACCAGAGAAACCTGTGGGTTTTGCAGTTTTGCAATGAGCTCCCAGCAGGTTGGCAGAGTTCCAGTCTGCAAGGGGCTGTGGGGAGCGGGAGGAGGGCGGTCAGGCAGGGGGTGCCATGTGCATGGACATGCACGTGGCCCCAGGCAGCCCGGAGAGAAGCTCCCACAGGTAGGTGCTGGGGAGAGGGGGATTGAGGCCCATATAGGGAGGGAGCTGGGCAGGGCTGGGGCTGCTGCCCGGCCAGGCAGTGCATGGGGCTTGAGGCCACAGTGTGCAGCTGCAGGGTCAGGATGGGGCTGTGTGTGGCTTGCCTGGGGGATGGGGAGGGCTGGCTCCCTGCTGCCACACTCACTCCTGAGGGGCAGGGTGGACTCATGCTCCCCAAATCTGTGCACAGGGCAGGCACAGGCTGCAAGCTCAGGCTCCCACCCTGCTTCCCTTCCCCAAGGTCTCCGCAGCCCAGCAGCCATGACCTGGCATGGCAGGGAACAGTGGAGCCACACAGGGGTCTCACTGTCGCTGCCAGCTCCACGCTGCCCTCACGATGTGCCCCCTGCACATGCCACTGCTTTGAAGGGCAGAACCCTGCACTGCTGCTTTCACTGCAGTCCTGCATGCAGGAGGTGCAGGACTGTAGCCAGGACAGTACAGAGCTGGCAGCAGCGAGCAGCTTCTCCATGTGGTTCCACTGTTCCCTGCCATGCTGGGTCGCACCCGCTGTACTGCAGGGGCCCCCGGAGAGAGAAGCAGGGTGGAAGCCTGAGCCTGCATCCTGCTCCTGCCCCACTTACGGATATGGGGGGTGTGGATCCCTCCTGCCCCCTGGGAGTGTGTGTGGTGGTGAGGAGAATCCCTCTTGCCCAAGGCCACAGCAGGCAACAGGGGGGAGCAGGCGCAGGGGGCTGTGGACCTGGGTCCATAGCTCTGGCAGCTGGGGGCCCTCTGTGGCAGGGTTGTGGGAAGCAGGGGCTGTGGGTAGAGGGCAAGGGGCACCAGCAAGGCTGTGGGAGGGGAGTGAGAGGCATGATTAGGGCCAGGGGACTGTGGGTGGAGAGTAAAGGGCACCAGCAGGGCTGTGGAGGGCCTTTAATTTTAATAATGGATTTTGGGGGTGTTATTAGAGAGTTAGCAATTTTTTTATCAGAGAATTTGTGATTTTTTTTCAGGGAAAACCAGGATCCCTGGTTATAAGCTTATAAGCTATCATCTTCATTTACCTTCTTATAAGCCTTCTGGTGCCTTCCCTTTTCTCTCTGGATTCTGATCAGTTCTCATCTTACAAATGCCCTGGCAGCTTTCTCTAGCCTGTGGTGGCCTCAGAGCCTGCCTCCTGCCATCAAAATGGTTTAGAACAAGGGATGGGAACAGAATTATTTGTAACACAAGTGATTTGCTGCAGGGAATGATCAAGCTTGGGATAGGATGCAGTTAGGATAATGGAGGTTCAGGGTTTTCTCTGCTTTTGCTCCTTTCTCTTGAGAGCCTTTAGGAATTAATTACAGCAAAACCTGGTTCCTTCCCAGGGTTGAGGACTTGTGAACTAGCCAGGGGTTATATACATCCACAGCAAACAATTTCATGAGACCTGTGTCATTATAGACACCAAGATGAACATGGGCCGCCAATGTGAGGACACAGGAAGGCTAACCGTACCTTGTCATGCATCCACAGATGCATCATGAGCAGGTCCAAGGAGGTGATCCTCCCCCTCTATATGACACTGGTCGGGCCACAGTTGGAGTACTGCATCCAGTTCTGGGCACCACACTTCAAGAGGGATGTGGACAACATCAAGAGGGTCCAGAGGAGGGCCACTCACATGATCAGGGGGCAGCAGGGCAGGCCCTACGAGGAGAGGCTACGGGACCTGAACCTGTTCAGCCTCCACAAGAGAAGGATGAGAGGGGATCTGGTGGCCGTCTATAAACTGGCCAAGGGAGACCAGCAGCAATGGGAGAGTCCCTGTTCCCCCGAGTAATACTGGGAGTAACAAGAAATAACGGCCATAAGTTGACTGAGAGTAGATTCAAGCTGGATATCAGGAGGGAAGTGGTGCAGGCTCCTACTCTGGGGGTCTTTAAAAGGAGGCTAGATAGACACCTTGCCGGGGTCGTTTTACCCCAGTACTCTTTCCTGCCATGGCAGGGCGTCGGACTTGATGATCTGCTCAGGTCCCTTTCGACCCTACCTACTACAAAACTATGTGTGTGTTTTAGCTGGTTGTGGCAGCTTTTAACTCAGACGGCTCTGCTCAGTCAGACTGAGCTGGAGCAGAAGCAGCATCTGCCCACTCCCAGGCTGGGCGGCAAGCTCCAAACTGGCCTTGCTGCACCCAGGGCTTACTCTGCGGAGGGAGCATCCTTCTCCTGCCTGCAATAGCTCTATGCCTGCAATAGCTCGATGCCTAGTCTGGTTAGCAAAGCACACAGGATGCAAGGCTGCAATTAGGGCAGCAGGGTGAACCGGGGTGGGGAGGGGGAAGAGGCCCCATGTGCAGGTGTCTTGTAGGGTGGATTTAGGGCAAAGGCATCTGCAGTCCTTTGACAGTTCTGGGAGGTAGCCCAAAGCCTTGAGATGTCTGACACCTAGAGGTCTAGCTAAGCAGTTTGGCTGCAGCCCAGTAGAGCCAGGTGCTTCCCTACGGCAGGTCAGGTGCTGGGCATGGGAGGGCAGATTTGGAGTGTGACTGGAGCCTTGTTTTGTTGTGGGGGGAGGGTGTGAACTCTAAGACAGACCCAGAGGTAGGAGTGTAGCTGGGTTCAGCATCCTAGCACCTATCTCTGCAGGGAGTATCCTGTGCTATATAAAACCTGGATTCCCCTCCCGGCCTCCTGCCCTATGAGGAAACAGGTGCCTGCAGTACTGGGTAACCTCTGTGAGATCCATGCAATTCTGGTATTTTCCGTGGTGAAAAGACTGACCGGCTCCTACAGGCATGAAATTATGGTCTGAACATGGTAAGAGGGTGCCTGGATAGTGAGAGGAAGTAGCAGAGTGAAGCCAGGCTAGGGGGTGACTGGAGGGAGTAGGGTATGGGGAACCCTGGCTGCAGATCAACTGGAGGGAGGAGCCTGTCTTCCTGCTGGGTGGCCAGGACACACATGCCACTCTCAGACAGTAGCCTCTCAGTACCAGTCCAATGGGCCAGCAGGCCTGTCCCAGGAGAATGGTCTCTCCCTGGCCCATGCCTGCTCATGATGTCCCTGTGTCTCTTGCAGTCCGTTCAGGAGTTCCATGAAGATCTCTTCCCTGACTCTGCTGGGACCCTGCCATCAGCATCTTCCCAGGAATGGTGGGCAGGAGACAACAAACAGGTAACCCCTGGCTGATAGCTGCCTTGGCCTCCTGGAACAAGAGCACTGGACCATCTACTGTAGAGGTGTCATGTCCCTTGTAGGGAGAGGTAATTAGCCTCTATCTCGTCCCCAACCCCAGTGATCTACTCAAAAGTCCTCTTCAGCCAAGTACCTATTTACCCTCCAGTCTTGGATGCAGGAGGATTCTGAGAAAGATGCAGGGCCTCTGGAGGGAATTCTCCAAGGAGCTTTTCTACCTTGATCAGAGAATTCGGCTAGATTCTCACTCCCTTCCCTGGTCCTGGGGTCTGCAGTTGGAGTCTCTTCTGGATGATTTACCCTGGGGATTCTTGAGGGGATGAAAGAATAAACATGAGCAATTCTTGTCAACTTTAAAAAAATCTGATGCTTTTATTTATTTAAATCAGATTTTAATTATGTTCTTACTTAAAAATAAGCCTATTTCAACTTAAATACGCACTACTTCTAAGCTCCATTAAAGTCTTGATTTGCACTAGTCAAGAAATATCATTATGCTTTATAGTTAAAAATGGACCATTTAAGCAGGGAGTGTTTGCAGAAGTTCTGGAGGAAGTCAGAGTGCTGAGTGGGTAGAAGTCCATGCTTGGCTAAGCTCTGGGAAGCAAGGTTTGCAGAAGTGCAGTACCAGCTGTGAATAGAAGTAGCCTCCCCTGCAGGTGCAGTGAGAATGTGTCTTTCATTTCAGCATATCCAGTTCAGTCCTGCTCAGTGAGTAGTTCACTCAAAGTTGAGAGACTGACTGGAAGCTGACAGAGCAAGAAAGCTTGTTTTCCTTTTCCTATCTGTGAATAAAAAACAGGTGAGGGGGTGGTCAGCTCAGCATACCCACTGCAGATAACATGTCCTTTGTTTAATAAACCATTTAGTTTTAAATACTAAATGTGTGTTAAACTTACTTTTTTCTTATGTATCTGCTACATTTCAGGTAGCTATATTCAACTTAAGAAAACATTTTAATATGTTGTTTTAGTGCATGTTAATTTAATTCCCATACCCATCCAAATGTAGCTTAAAATAATCATCTAATAAAATGAAATGCATCATTCACCTTTTTATCATCATAAAAGAGAACTGAAATAACTGTATGTGCAGCTGCATAATTGCTCACACAGATGTGTCCACCTATGATGTATCCTTCTGGTCTGGTTAGCAAAACATGACAGATGAAGCATAAAGGCTGTAATCACCCTGTTTTAATGGTACCAGCTAGTGAAAAGCAACCTTTATGCAGGAAAATAACAAAAAGGGACAAAGGTAAATTGAGGTTAAAATGGATTGTTTAAATGCACACTTGCTGCTTCCTCATTTAAATCAGCCTGCCCCCCTGAAGCCCTCCCTGCTGGGGATACCTGGTCCCTTCATCAGGGAGCTCCCTAAAGCAGGTGCTGGTAAGAAGGGACCCTGGTAGTGAACATGCTGGAGACAGCTGCTTCCTCTTGTGGTATTTGGAAGCCCAGTGCCTGGTCCACAGCCCCCAGCAGCACTAAACCATGGGTAGCAGTGGTGGGCCATTTCAGGAAACTCCTCCAGCCCAGGCAAGCCTAGCAGAACCCTTCTAGGCCAAGGCTGCCTTTCCCAGGGAAAGTTGCCACAGTGCCCTGCCCTCTCCAGCAATGACCATTTCTTGTGCCTTCAGGTGGGGAAGGTGAGCCTGAACCCAGCCCGGAGACCCAAGGAGACCTTCACCTTCAGCTTGTTCCCCCATGCCCAGCAGGAGGAGTGTCTGCCACATGACTCCAAGCAACTAGATGCTGGTTCTGTGGACCTGGACCGAAGTGTGAGTGTTGAGTTTCAGCCTGGGGCTGGGCCAAGCTACTTGAGCCCCCTGATGTGGCACCTGGTATGGGAGCCTGGTATTTGTAGCCTCCTGCCGTTGTGAGGACAGAATGCCTGGTCTTGCTGAACATACTTGAGTTGCAGGGGATGTCTATACTGCTGCCAAGCAAGGCCACCCACCTTCTGCTGCTCTCACTCACCAACAAGACTGAATCCTGCTTGGAAGCCCCCAGTGTGCCTGAGAACATCATAGGGGTGTTTTCAAAAGCAGCTTCACCCCTGAATTTCCAAGTGCAATGCCAGTGAGTGGGAGCAGGTGAGTGGGGCATGCCTAGGAGCACCACTCCCCTGGGAGGCCAGGGCACAATGTAGACCTCAGTGTGGTGTGCCCTGGAGCTCAGGAGCACATGGCATGGATGGCCTGGGGGCTCTCTCTAGCTGTTGGCCTGTGCAGAGGTGCAGCAAAGGGCAGGGTTGGCCAAGGTGTGGCAGGAATCAGGGCTGAGCACAGCTGACTTGTGACAAACAAGAGAAGTGCAATCTGCCTGGGGCAGCAATGTTTCCCTCACAGTTGTCTTACTGCACCTTGGGGAGTGAAAGGCCTGGGATGCAGGGTCAGGGCAGTCCTGGTTCCCATGTCCCTACCAGTTTCTGACCACTGTAGATTCATGCTTTGCACTTTCACTCCTGACTAGCAGCCCCCAACTTCTCCAGCCCAGCCCCAGCAGAGCTCTGCCCATGTCCTGTCAGCCCTGACCTGCAGCACCCCCCCATTGTTCCATTAAAGCACATTCGGATTTGCTAGCTGTGGGATATGGGAAGTCCCTCCCCTTCAGATTCCTTAGCCGAATCCTCTGCTTGGCTGTGACCGCCAGGGCCCTCCCTGCAGTTGGGTATGAGGACTTGGACTCTCCACTCTGTGGGATAGCAACTGAAGTGTATGTCCCCCTTCTCCCCCGCCCTCCCCAGCTCCCTGCCTTGTTTCTATGGGGTTAGCAGGAACAGGGAAGGCAGGGAGCTGTTAGCTCTCCCTGACTCATCATGTGGTACTCTCCCCCCAGGATGGAAGTGGCCTCTCTTCTCCCTCCAGCTCCCTGACTTCTCCCAGCATGGCCCCATCTGTCTCCACCACCAGTGGCTTTGCCAGCAGCTCCAGTCAGAGGTCCCTGCAGAGCATTCTGGGTGAGCCATATGTGCATATGTTCAGTGGGGCATGGGTGTGTTTCTCTATAGAGAGCTCTCACGGGGGACCATCCTCTTGGTGCCTCACCTAGTGCTGGGTGAGACTTCTCTGCTCATGAGTGCTCTTGAGACTCTCTCAGGCTGTAATACTGTCAGTCTTAAGTGGAAAAGAAAAGCACAAGGTGGGGTGGCCAGGTCAGTAGTGCAGCCCAAAGCCTGGGCTCTTTCTGAGAGTCCTGCCCTGGTAGAAGATTTTCTGTATCCTGAATTTCCTGTGTCCTTTTCTCAGGCCCCAGCTCAAAGTTCCGCCACGCCCAGGGAACAGTCTTGCATCGTGACACCCACATCACCAACCTCAAGGGGCTCAACCTCACCACTCCGGGAGAGTGCAATGGTTTCTGTGCCAACCGGCAGCACCTGGCTGTCCCACTGCTGTCAGCTGGTGGGCAGATTGCCATCCTTGAGGTAACAGTGCAGCTTCCTCACAGTTGGGTTTGTTGCAGCTGAAAGGCACTATGCCCACAACCGTGGAGCCTGGCTGGACCCAGCATGGGAAGTAGGGAACATAACTGCCCTGTTAGTGGGCCACAACCCTAACCTAGTGCTGAATGGAGCTGGGTCTCTCTGCCTGATCAGTCCTAGCCTTCCACACACAGGCCATGGCTGGTGATCACAGGGGAAGAGGCTCTGTCCCAAATCCCTGCTGTGACAGAACCAGAACTTCTGTCCCACATAAACCCTAAGATTCTTAAATGTATTTTTGCTCCAAACCAGAAGAAAAAGTTGGAATTTTGGAATTTTCTATGGAGCAAAATTTCAAGAATGTTTCAGTTCAGGCCATTTGGTTGTTCCATTCTGACTGTTATATAAAAACAGTGTGTGCATGTGTATGCACACGTGTGTGTGTGCGTGCATGTACAAACCAGACACACACATGCCCCAACTCTGCTGCTTAAACTAAAGGGGGTCTCTCTGGGCAGCTCTTTTATCCTGTCTGAGGCCAAACTCTAGCACGCAGTATCACATATACAAATGCCAGCTCAGTTCATCTAGTTTGACCCAGAGAGTGTAGTGCTGGAAGGGGATGTGATGGGCACCCTGGGTTGTCCTACTGCCTCTGACTGGGTGTCTATTTCAGCTCTCCAAGCCAGGCCGTCTGCCTGACACCTCCATACCCACCATCCAGAATGGGACGCCTGTCGCAGACTTCTGCTGGGACCCCTTTGACCTCCAGCGCCTTGCAGTCGGTATAGAGCTCTGCCTTCAGCTACTGTTTGGCTACCAGGCACCACGTGGAGCCGGGCCAGCCAGGAGACTAGAACCCTCCCACTGGCCTGAGGTGGCCCTTCCACATATCAGGCACAAGCCCTGTGCTGTGCTGGCCCCTCCAGGATCCCTCCCCAGGGCCCACTCATGGGAACCACAGTCCCTCCTAGTAATAACAAGGACAGTAAGAAGTCTTTTAGGTATGTAGGCTATAGAAGGAAAACAAGTGGAAGTGTGGGACCCCTGCTTAACACCTTGAGGCAGCTGGTAACCGATATTCAGGACAAAACTGAACTCCTGAATGCCCACTTTGCTTTAGTATTTCACCAGACAGTGGGGAAAGTCAAGCGAGATACGGCTCACAGGGGACATGCCGGGACTGACAGCCTCCCCACTGTGGATGCTGGGTGGGTGCAATACCAATTAGAAAAGCTAGACATTTACAAATGAGCAGAACTGGATGGACTCCATCCGAGAGTGCTGAAGGAGCTGGCTGAGGTTATCGAGGAACCCCTGGCAAAACTCCTTCAGAATTTGTGGTGCACAGGGAAAATCCCTGAGGATTGGAAGAGGGCCAACACTGTGCCCATCTTCAAGAAGGGGAAGAGGGAGGACCCAGGCAACTATAGGCCATGCAGCCTAACCTCCATCCCAGGCAAAATCCTGGAAAAGCTCATTAAAGAATCTATGTGTGATACGCTTGCAGAAGGTAAGATTCTGAATGACAGCCAACGTGGCTTTGTCATGGGTAGGTCTTGTTATACCAATCTCATCTGCTTCTACGACCAGGTCGCTTGTCACCTGGACATGGGAGATGTGGTAGATGTTATGTACTTAGACTTCCAAAAGACTTTTGATCTAGTATCCCACGATATCATTGTGGGAGAACTGGAAGATTGTGGGCTCAGCTGCTTGATGGTTCAGTGGATGGGAAACTGGCTACAGGGTATGACCTAGAGAGTTCTCATGAACAGATCTGTGTCATCCTGGCACGTAGTGGCCAGTGATGTCCCTCAGGGGTCTGTGCTTGGACTGGTGCTTTTCAACATCTTTATCAATGATTTGGATGGGGGAGTGAAAAGCTCGCAAGCCAAGTTTGCAGATGACACCAAGTTATGGGGCAGTGTGGTCACATCAGAAGATAGATTGCAGTTATAGGCGGACCTGGACAGGCTCCAGAGTTGGGCAGACCGGAACCAGATGAAATTTAACACTTCCAAGTGTAAGGTACTCCATCTGGGGACAAACAACCCTCAGCATACATACAGCCTCAGTGGTGACAGACTGACTTGCACCACAGCCGAAAGGGACCTAGGGGTAATGATTGACCATTGCATGAATATGAGCCATCAGTGCGAGGTGGTGGTCAGCAGGGCAAACAACACACTGGCATGGATCAACCAATGCATCTCGTGTAAAATTAAGGAAGTGATACTTCAACTATGCTCAGCACTGGTGAGACCGGAGTTGGAGTACTGCGTCCAGTTCTGGGTGCTACACTTCAATAAGGATGTGGAAAAACTTGAGGGGGTCCAGAAAAGAGCCACCTGTATGATCAGGGACTTGCA